TCCCAGTAAATTATTTTAACTGTTGCATCTGTAACATCTTACTAAATTTATTAATAATATTTGAATGCTGACTTCTCAGAAATCATAATTTTTAGATACCATCTATAAAATTTCAAACTTCCTTTCCATGGAACATCCTGCCAGTTTGGCTGTATGAAATTCATGAAATCCACATTTGTTACTTTCATATAAGATTCTGAAAAGATAGACATTAATACAATCATAACTCTCATAGTGTAGATACGTTTTTGCTTTTCTTAAGCTCAATTTTAGAAAGCACCTATAATTTCTTAACTTTTACATTCCTAGTGAAATTTTGTGTGTTTGCTTTTCTTAGACTTAATTTTTTGAAAGTACCTAAAATTTCTTAGCCTTTACATCTCTAGTGATAATTCTCACACTTCTAACTTTTGTGTAAAACACATGTAACTCCAGTTACCAACTGGACTGGGTGCGCTTAGAACCTGCTGTACATCTCCCAAACTCATTCTCATCATTAGGAAACGTCTCTTCATGTTTCCCATGGGTTGAAATCTTATCTATTGGCTGTTGGGATCTTTTTTTGTTTGGTTGATTTTGCAATGCTGGAGATCAAACTCAAGGCCTGTCCATGGTAACACAGCACCCTTGGTAGTTCCAGATACCAGGAAATCTTTGTATTCCTTCCTCCTTGTGTATGTCACCTTAGATAAGAATTCCTTAAATAAGAATTCCTAAAGGATACTTTCATTTAAAAGTGGGCAAAATAAATTTTTGAGAACTTCTATGCCTGAAAATCATTTATATCCTCTCATATTAATGGTTAGGTTTTTTTTGTACAATATTAGATGAAATCATTTTGCTCTACACATTTGAACATACTACTCTATCGACCTCTGGATTCTAGAGATGCTATTGACAACATGATAGCATTTATAGAACAATTCCCAAAGAGACTGCTGTTTTAATATATAGATTTAATTAGAATTTCACCGGTTCCAAACAATGTCATTTCTCTGGACTAGGATTCACTGCAAAGTTTCATATCATAATTAACTGTCATATTTTAGTATCCTATGTGTTGTAAATGTCCTTTATTTACTCTCTACCTTTGAAGAACAGTAGCTAAATATTTTGTATAGTATTTCTCAGTTTGGTCCTGTCCAACATATTATTTTGATTGGATTCAGTTTATGTGTTTTGGTATGCTACACAAAGGTGATATTGATACCTTCCTTGGAGGAAGCATGACATCTGCCTGTCTTATTGTCATTGGGGATGTTATAATTTCCATGTATCTCTCCCCGTCTTAAAATTCACAATGTCCTCTATCATTGACATATTATGTTATTATAGGATACTTGTTACAATTAATGAAATAATACATATTCAGATTATATACGTCCATAGTTAATTCAGATTTATTTAGTTTGCACACTATTTTTTTTCACCTAAAAATATTCAGACTTCTGCCAATCCTCCTGGTACTTGCAAGGTGTGTGTTGCATGTAAAACTTCAAATGCAATGTATCATGATCAGAAATATTTCAAATATAAGCTCTACATGTGTCTATAATTTTTTGTAGCTTTATTTCTGAAACCAAAATAATATTATTAAATGAATACACATAAGAGGGATCCAACTCATGAGATGTTTGACATATGTTTTCTAATATCTAGCCTTTAATTTATATTTTTCCAATATTTTAATTGTGCCTGTATTCTGAAGATTTTTACAACCTCAAACTGAGGGGTGAATGTGATTTTGTTTATAACCCAAGTGGAACCAGGAAATTCAAAATAGTTTTGAAATTTGTCAATGGGTAATGTTATGAAAGTGGTTTTGCCTACTTAGAAAATAGGCTTATTTTTACATTTTATTTATTTTAATAAAAATAATAATTGTGTATATTTATGAGGTATATCATAATATTTTGACCTCCCTATGCGTAACAGAAATATTTATTCAAGCTAATCCACATATCCAGCACCTTAACAACTTATTTTCGTAGTGAGAACATTAAAATGTTTTTAAAATATTTTGAAATGTGAGATACATTATTATTAACTGGGTTACCAAGCAATACAACAGGTCATTAAAACCTAATCCTCCAGTCTAATAAACATTTTGCTGTTTAACCAGGATCATTCCTTTCCTTCCCTTAGGTTCTGGTAGCTGCTTTTTTATTTCTGTTAAGATACATTTATTTTAGTTGCCACATATAAATGAGATCACACAGTATATTTCTTACTTTGCCTGACTTAATTCACATAGCATTCTGTTCTGCAGTTCAATCCATGTGGTTGTGAATGACAGAATTTCCTTCTTTTTGAGGCTGCATGGTGTTTGATTTTGTATATCTGCAACATTTTCTTTATCCTTTCATGAACTGATGCACACACTTGGTTGTAAATACCACTTCAGACAGGTCAGTTCCTTTGGATATATATCAAGAAATGAGAATGCCAGACCATATAGTAATATTGTTGTAAGTTTTTTGAAGAACCCACATACCTTTTTCCAAAATGACTTTTAATTTAAATTCACATCAATGTTGTACAAGATTTCCATCAACAGTGTACAAGGTTTCTCCTTTCTCCCTTCATGCCTTTGCCACTACTTTTTTATTATTCCTGTTTTTGTAACAATGGATATTAGAGAAAGAGAGCTTTTTTTTTATTATATAGCAATTTATCTCTGAGTCCTTTGGCCTTCCTCACAGACAAGATTAAACTTTCTTATTTTCATTATTTATATTCTGGTAGATCTATGCTTTATTTCAAGTTTCTGTAATCTGTAGAAATTTTCACACCATTATTATACAAGCATTAAAGTTACAAGATATTTAGCATGGTAAAGCCAGATCAACATAGTGGATAAGATCATGCTTGGTGTTTATACCTTTAGCCAGTTACCTTGGTACTTACTATCCTCCACCCTGTGTTAAAGGTATTATTGTATGTTAATGCCTGCAGTCAGGGAGAATCACTTCTGAGCTGTCATGCAGCAGACATTACAGAAGAACATGACAGAAAAGAAATATATGAGAGATATTTAGCATACCAGAGAAGTTTCATAAAGAAAAACAAACCATGCTAATCATGACGAGATTCAAAGTGTGCATGTGGAAATAAAGCTGTGGTGAATGGAGAAAAGTATATGCCACTAGGGACAAAATCAGAAGTTAGTGCTGCTGCCTGCCTCATAAGCACAAGGTCCTGAGTTTGATCCCCGGTGCCCCAAACAAACAAATATCAGAAGTTGGACTGTTGGATGTTTCATACAATTTGTTCTTTGCATTAGGATTGATCACAAGGTTATTAAGAATGAAAGCAAAAGTTTGGCTAGAGGAGAGGATTGTAAACACAAAATAAGTTGTTAGTAAATTTAAGAGAATCCATAAATTCAAATAGTTATCAGAAAAGCAAATTGATCAACTGGGGGAGGCTATTTTCAGAGGTGAGTTGATTTGTTTGTTTTGGGAAGAGAGACAGCTTGTCTTCTCTAACACAAGACAGTTGCCAACCCCAGATGTGGAATGTGGATCAGGAGTACAGCCCTGGCCCTGTCTACATTCCCAACAGTGACATCTATGAGGTTGGAATCAATCACCTCCATTTAAACAAGCTGCAAGGGAAGCAATGCTCCCAGGGGCCTTTCTAGTTCAAGTAGAGAGTGGTACAGCAGATTTCTCTTTGCAAGGCAGAGCAAAAGAATATAGAGCTTTATCCTATTAACTAAATATTCAGAATGCAAAATTTAGAGAACATAATTTTATGTTCCTAAGGAAGAGGTATGGAAAGCAAACTCTACCTGTCACACACCTCTTTCTGCTCAGGAAATCAGTGCAAGCATCTTCTCAGCTAAATATTTATCAGGAGCTAATAATACATTACAATACTATTCCAGATCCAGCTTAGTTTTATTATTTGAGCACTGGTAAAAAATTTTTCCAAAACAACAGCAAAAATTGTTTGTCCTATTCAGATTATAAATTCCATGTCTTTGGTTTCTCTTTTATTTGCTTCCGGTTCACGTTGCTAGTTTGCCGATCATGGGGCCATATACTTGACAGTACTTCTTTCAATTATTTCAAATAGTTTTTAAGCTTTAGGATATCTGATATTAAGTTTGTAACATTAAGTTATATTTGAATATGTTAAAAGATGAATGGAATTTTACCGGGTGAGCAAAATTTAAAATGCTCCTAGGAAAGTTCCATCCCCTAGAAAATACATTCATCACCTCTGTGGGTGAGGAAGACAATATGTTGATTTATGCATCACCTTTTAAAAAGAAATCAATTTGGACAATGCAACATCATTATTGCTACTTTTTAGACTTGATAATCAGATTGAATTGAGTTGTTTAAAATGTTATTATCCAGAAACATATACTAATGTATGTGAGGATAAAATGATGTGTTGTCAAAGCAAGATAGGGTTACAAAATGAATATTCCTTGTTGTGGCAAAGTTTTTCAAACTTCCCTCGGGAAAGAAGACCAACATTTCTTTACTTCACCCTTAAACTATGCTGTAGAGCCCCAGGTTTCTAAAGCATGAGTGATTTTTTTTAAAATCTGTAGCTCATGTTTCAAATCATCCAAGTGGAAAAAACAAAAGATAAAGCAAGAGGTGACAGTGATTCCAACCAAATATCTCCCGAACATTTGTACATCTACGTATAATAACAACCACATCACACACTAATCTATAGCGGTGTTCAGCTCTGGAGGCTTCAGGCTGACAGCTGTCCCTGCGTACTTTGTTGGTGCAGCGAGGCAAAGGAAAAGTAAAAACAACTGGAAGTCAAGAATCTGAGTTGCTGCCTTCCTCTCTTTCTCTTCCCCTCCTCATCCTCCTTTGCCCACACTCGCTGCCCAATACACCTCCTCCCCAGTCCCCAAGCCCGCTCCCCTGGCTGCTAGCTGGAGGAGACTCCGCAGCCGAAGCTGTCCAGCCTCTGCAGCTGCGGTGTCAGTATCACCCGCCCACGCCCGAGCTGAAGGGAGACCTGGCCTGGGAATGAGGGCGGGGAGAATTCCTTGAGGCTGGGAGCGGGAGGGCTGAGGGAGGGAGAGAAAAACAGCTTTCCATGTCAGACGCTGTTCCGCTGGGCACTTAGGCAGGAGGGTGTTTGAGTCAGCGGCTGGGGGGCCGCCCCGGCGACTCCTTTCCAGCTTTTAGTTCAGGGACCCGTGTAAAGATGTGCAGCTCTTCGTAGCCCAGGAGGCAGCAGCTGCTGAGGGCAGCGGCCAGCCTAGCAACATCTCCTAAGCAACCAGAGTTGAGAAACCCAGACGTCCGTGAAGAGACGGGGGTCCCGAAGGAAAGAGCTCAAGGAGCCTTGCTTCTTGGGGTTCCCTCAAGTCTCGGTGGAGACCTGTCACTTGGTAGCAAGTAAGTGCGATTTTCACGCTATGGTGTCCAGACCAGGACGGTGACCGCTGCTGCCAGATTTTCCCACTCCCACCTGCTCCACCCGGTGCACACCCTGAGAGTCCCCAGCAAGGGAACGGAAAGGAGGATTCCGGACTTGAAGGAAGAGAGCTAGCTACACAAGGGCAGCAGGGCTTGCTCTGTGAGTGTTCGCTCTGCAAGGGATGTGGGTTTAATGTCTCATCCTTCCAGGGAAGGTTCAGAAACCAAGGTGCTCCGGTAGGTTAAAATTTCTAGAAAGCCTGTACAGCAGTGACTTTTATGCTACACGACACGCTGACTGTACAGATAGAGTGGAAGGTTATGCAGGTTGGGCTATACATCTGAGGAATTAAGTCTCTTTATTCTAAGCAATTTAGCGTTCAAGATTTGTATTTTTCATAGACAGTACAAATATAAAAGTAGAGACATAAATACGATTGAAATTTTTGTGCTTACTTTAAGTACTGGGGGATTTTTGATATGTTTGCTCAACAGGGTTTTGATTTGTACCCATTTGCTTGTTTTCTTTTTTGTTGTTACTTCTGGAAGATGTGTACCTTCTGCAGCTTCTGTTCTCTTTGAAAAGTGATGATGCGACTCTGGTTATGTTACCCCGAGAACTAGGGACATTGGTTAAATCAGAATAAATGCTGAATTCTTGTGGAGTTACTAATTGATGGCCCACCTTTATTAATGGAAAGATGGAGTTGAGCTTCAATATTGGCCGGAAATATATCTTGAAATAAGAATAAGTTTGCTAGTGGGTGTTTCCTCCTGGTTATCATTTAGGTGAGTGATTTTTGACAAAGCAGAAGGAAACCGAACCCTGTCATGAACAGAGTCCTGGGAAGCATACCTGTTAGAATCAGCTTTTCTAAAAAAAGCTATTACAATTCAACTGCCATTTTTATAGGTAAGAAAGGTTAAACCAATAAGGGATAATTTGATGAAATTACCCAGCTAATTAAGAAATGAATTGGAACACTACTGAAGAAATTTTTTGAATTTAGAATTATAAAACTTGACTTCCATTTACCTGGAAACACAGCAAATTATTTAACTTGATCAATCTTTATTTTCCTGGGTTGGCTAATCAAATTTTCTGCTAAAGCCTAATTCATGAAGATTAGTGAAGGATTTGGTGAAAAGTAACATTTTATACAACTGTGGTTGTGTAGGGAAGGTCTTTGGACAGAATGCTCTAGATGTGTAGAGGGACTGAAGTACAAATCCATCCCTCTCTTACCACTTTAAATCTGAGGCATAGTCTGATCTATAGCCTCCATCCTTGCAAAAGGACTGATTGATTCTAATGACTCATACCTGTGAATATTCTCTAGCTATTACTATGCTTTCATTTTTTAGTTTGAAATTTTGTTTTAGATGTGCGACACTGCTTCCTGGAGATTAAACTATCAAACATATCGAATATTGCTGAATTTGTTTGCTCTGTTAATTAACATAGGAGAAAACAGAGTTTATACATAAAATCTACTCTTTACAGAAAAAGACATTAAAATATTGCACTCAAGGGAGAGATACTGTGAACCCTCTTTACCCCTTGGCTGTGTTCAAAATGATAGTGAAAAACCTTCAAATTGAGCATAAGCCCTGGAAAAGAGGTCAACAGATGACAGGATCAGGCCCACAGACATGTTGTGGCAAATCAATCCCCACTGGAGAACTTGAAGAAGAGCTAAACACATAGACTGGAAATTCTGCCCCCAAAACCTAATGTGGTACTGGAGTTTGTAGGGTAGTTTGATGCGAGCTCTAACCAATTTTACTCAAGAATGATACATGCATGTCTAAGCATAATAGAAATTGAAACAGCAGTATTTTGTTTAATATCTTATCCTAATAAACCACTACTTCTCATCAGATTCAGATCAGCATTGCAACGGGGACACTCAGAGACTGCTGTGCAGCTCTCTACCAACTACCTGAGACTCTTTTGGGAATTTATGGTGACAAAATTAATGTAAAAAGGGCATCCTTATTTCTGCAAAGCTAATTTCAGTATTTCCATATAAGTCAATGTCAGCAGTACCGGTCAGTTTTAGAGGAATATCTCTAATACCTGTCCACCTTCACTAGCTATCAGCCACATGCACTCACCCAACATTGCATAGGAACTGAAGAAATATATCTCAGTTTTCTCCACTTTGTCCTCTTCTATTAATGTGGGCTAGCCAAGTAGCTGGGTGTGGTCTTATGACTGCATTAAAAACGGACTCCTGAGGTTGACGGGGATATTTTCTTCTGAGGGATTCTAGGGATATTTTTCAGCTGGTAAATATTTCTTGACTCATCTATGATAGACACTTCTGTACATTTGTTCAATTACTGCTTTGTTTAAAAATAATCTAGGCTCCATTTTAATATATTCCAATCTAGTATCTCTAACAGACATCCGTGTTGTCAAGTCATTGTTTCTGACTAAACTGATGCATCCTAGATCTGGCTGAGAATAACTAGCTCAGCGGATACCTCTGACTGTGGTGTAAGTCAAGTGTTAGCCTGCCCAAGCCAGCATCAAAGATATTGAAGAAAGGGTACTACCAGGGGAACTCCCAAAACAATATATCTGTGATTAAGATGTTTGGTACAGATTTAGAGACCGTGATCAGTAGTTGAATATATTGTATCAAGTGGAATATTCCACCCCTTCTGACTTAACTGCTAGTGTGAGGCTTCTTGTCCACCTGTCTCATGCCTTGAGTTCTCCCAGTGTCTGCGTGGTCTAAATGCACCAGATTAGTCTCTGATTTTGCCTCTCGCCCATATTGACTCTTTTCTCTGGGCCCTTCATCCCTACGCTGGTTACTTTTTGCACAGCTTAGAGTGAGATAAAAACTAACTCATATTCACTCCAATATGTTTCAAAGCTCTCCTCAAGTTGCACTCCAATTGAAAAGGAAATGGGCATTTATTGTGTTTGTATCCTCATTTGAAAAACTGGAGTCAATTTTGGAGATGAATCTTGAAAAAGTACACAGACTCTCACAGTTATCAGGAACAGAGATAAATAGCTAGTTTAAAGAGACCTCCAGGGTTCGAGTAAATAAAGCAGTTCTGGATTTTAAAGGGGGGAAAAGTATTCTCATAGGTCCAGTGGCATCTAAAATTGTAGACTGAAAGGGTCATAGGGTTACTGGTGAGTTCACAAGTTACTTTCATATTAGGCTCTCCTTTGTATTAACCTGGCAGAGCAAACAACACATTCTTCTTTTATGAGCTTTTTTTTTAATTTTATTGAGATTATTGGTACATTTTAGGGATACAGTACAGTTACATTCATTGTTGGGATCATGTACCTCTACATGGCAAGTCTTGATTCTCATTTTTTCCCCTTACCTCTGCCCTCCCCTCACCCCCTCTTCCCCTCCCCATCTACAAACACTTTATTTTCATCTTTTCATTCTCTCACATTTTTTTCTTTTCCCTTTTTG